ACTGCAAGTTGAGAGTTAATTGAAGTAAAGGTTAAGTTCAGTCGAAATATGTATTAATATTTTAAGCAAGGACGCTTGGAAATGTGAAGCCAGGCTGTAAATGCTAATTTTCTTATCGAAAATCCGAAATTACACTTCATTCAAGTTGTTAAGTTAACAAAAATAAATAGCTAAATAATATTTGAGATATTATTCATTTTTCTACTTGTTGTACTATTTCTTCGTCTAGGTAATTTTGTTATCTTTTATCATTTAATTTATGGAAAATTAATTAAAAAATCAAAATTTATTTGGAATTTTTTATGTTTAGTTATTTTTGATGGTTTAGTTGACGTTTTCTATCATTAATAACACCAACAACGTACTTAAATTGACCACGTGTAAATATTTAATACAAATAAATGGTTGTAATTCACACTTTGAGTGATTGTGAACTAATGTAACGAGATAAAACTGGTAAAAACTTGCAATTCTGATGACAAATTCGATTATAAATGACTAAAATACTAATTTAAGTCTGAAATACTGATTTTAAGTAACTTTTAACCTCAAAATGATTACGATTACTGAAAAATTGTCTTATATTGCCAGAAAATTTGTCTTATTTACTATAAATGAGATATTGAAGCAGAAATTATTGCTTTAATTGATATAATATTACATTTTAGTTTGTAATTTATCATATTTCTGTCTTTTTATGCTTGATATTGCCTATGACGTCAATTTTGAGTTAAAAAACCGGAAAATTTAACGTTGATTAAACATAATCAGTAAAAACAATATTAAATTTAAACACAATACAATTGAGTTACTCGTGGCTTTTATCTCTCCCTACATCTGATTAGATTCCATCTTGGAAGTGACGTCAGTGTTGAATTGTTCACCCTAATTGCTGTTCTTCCTACCTTGGCGGTTTTCAGAATATTATACTTTGTTTTTATTAAAATAATCATCAACCTGTCACTTAATAAATTAATTAATGTGTGTTCTGTATTCCATGACTTAAATTCTATTAAATAACGATGTTTTGTTACTCTTTTGTCATCTTGCAACAAAATTAGATTGAAAATATTAGTGAATCCAATATTAGCAACTTAAATATTCGTAGATATTGACAGTGACAGCGCCTTTGTGAACAATAAACAGCACAAAGCACGCCGCAAGGTGAAAGTTGCGCCATCATCGTTTCGTTTTCGCACAATTTCAAAATCATAATTGTGCGCATCGACGAAAAACACCCACTTGCGCACTTTATGCATTCATGCATAAATATCATAGGAAATTAAAGTGGATCACGTCTAGAAACCACCGAAACCAACAATTCTATTCACAAAATTCACATTCCGAATAAATAAATATTAAATACTAAAATTTTAAATTTTACATTCAAATAACATAGAATCTTATGAAACCAAAAATAGATTTACATTGATGATCAAATCATTGAACAAAAAATTAATTATCACTTTGTTTTTGAACAAATCTTGTAGTAGATATAGAAGTAAATAGAATAATTAATCTTTGGATAAAACAAAATACAAAATACTTAGCCACAAAATATTTTAACTGTTTTTTCAGTGTGAGAATATGATGTGAATAGATCTAAAGTAATAAAATAAAAAATTGCACTTTGAGTACCGAAATACAATGTCTAAGTATATGTTATTTGTAACAAACATGTAGTGTAAGTACTTGTACTCGTATATAATATGTTTAATTAGTTTCTCTTGCAAAAAAGCTTAATTTGATGCAATTAAACAGTTTTTGAGACGCAACCAGATATTGACGTCAAATGGAACGATTAGCGAAAAAGGTATTAGCTAAGTTTGTAAATACAACTTACAACTTAAATCATTAACTCTGTTTTTCTGCTTCCTGCTGATCAAAAGTCATTTGTATCAAATTTTTTACTTGTAAACACTTGACAGGGTAATTATTTGATCAAATTGTATTCATAAATACAAAATATTATTAATATTATTGAATTTATATTCATTTAAAGTTAAATAAAGAAGTAAAAGTATTAGAAATCAAAAAAATACTTTTTTTCAGTTTTGTTTGTTTGTTGGGGTTTAAATTGAAAAATAAAATGTTTAAACCTATTCAAATTAAAGTTATAATATTGCTATTAGTATAAACTATCTTTGGTATTATTATTAACAAAATATCTTCTAAACTTTGCTAGTTACAAGCAATTAAAATTGAAAAATTTGCTAAAAATGCATAAAATTATCATTTCTGCGTTTTTTTCACAATTTTGATGATTAAAATTGATATAAACGTGTAAAAATGTTAAAAGTTATATTAGTGCACGTGTAAAACCGTAATCCTTTTATTGCTTATAATTTTATAGAATTATCTACACTACAATAAAAGTGATAAGCTTTTAAAATTAAAAATGTTTTAAAAAACATCAAAAATTTAAAATTGTGGTTTATCTCACCATTTCTTAATTATAAACAAAATAAACAATCAATACTTATCCAAACAAACATTTATTAAATAATTAAACATTACCTTTCATCTGATAACATTTTCATCACCATATTTCCATAATCTTCCTAATTATTGACTTTCAAAACATAAAAATTGATTTATCTTTCCACATATTTCCAGACGGTACGTCTGCAGTGAAAGTATTTGCTCCGAAATGTTTGCTCAATCACATCTCTCTCGGAATTTCTTGTTAAATCTCAATATTCTCACTCAGCAAGCAAGTGCACCGAATGCACACGACGCAGCTTACACTTTTTGCCGTCGTTTTTCGGCTCTCCACTTACCGAGTTTCCATTCCATTCGGTTAATTTCCATTCCTCAGCAGAAATCAAAAAAATAAAATAAAATTAGCAACAGAGTGTAAAGTGTACGAACACAATTTGCAATCATGCGCAATGTGCAAGTGCACCGGCAAGTAAAAGCAACACAACGAACGACACATGCTAAACTGTGATTAGACTTCAGCTTTGGACTTGAGTATTAATTTTACATCTTAGAAAATTACTTTCGAATGAATACCGGTATCGGTATGCGGTGTGCACAGCATGTAACACTAAGTAAGCAGTAATTGAACTGGAAGCGGATGCGATTTTCATTTTTTTCTTAGTTTCTACGTCTTGTTGTTAGTTTATTATTTTAATAATTTACCGTAAGTAATTTATCATTATTTATTATTATTTATTATTATTTATCGATTGAGTGTGTGCATGAATGGAAGGTGGAAGTGCGGTTTCGTTTGCAGGTTTCGTTTCGTTTCGTTTGGGAAAAGTGGCACACGCCACGCGAATGAACGTGGACACGTGAATGTGAGTACAAAGTCGTAAAGTCATGATCGCGAAATTTTTGCCAGGCAAGGAGAAAGATATAATCATGTTGAAAATGTGTAGAAATATTGTAAAGGTGAAAATTTAATTGGTTATTGAGAAAAGTTAAAAGTTAGGAAATGTTTCTTGAATTAGTCATGTTTAACAGCTGATAAGTCATGGAGTTTTCGTGATAATTTGATAAAAATGTTATCAAGTGTAGATTAGTGTTTATAGTGTTTAATCATAGTGGTTTTAGTATAATTGTGCAATTTATTTATGCAAAATTATCAGTTTTATGTAAAAAATCACTTTTTGTTGATTTTTGTTAGTTTTATCAACTTTAAAAGCTTATAACTCATAAAGTTTTCAAGATAAATTAATAAAATTTATATCAGCTATAGATTATAATATTAAAAATTATGTGCAGTTAATTTTTTTGTGATTAAACAATTTCTTCATCGTTGAATTGTAAAAAATGTGTCAAAATTGCGTATTTTAACAGATTTTTGAGAATTTTTTAGATTTTGGAGTGAAAAATCACAAATATTTTAATATAACTTGAATAATTTCATTATAAATAATTGTTTTACCTAATTTAATAAATATTCAACCCTCCAGGATAATTTTATCCCTTAAAATGAAATTTTTCGAAACAATTTATCATTTTTATCGTTTTTCTCTTGGTTTTTCAACTTTTAAACTTGAAACAATAAAAAAAAATTATTTTATCTCCAGTTAACAATGTTTAATATTGTTAATATTGTTTAACTGGATGATCTCATGTGATTCTGTCACACATTGATCACACAGATCACACACCTTGAACCACTACATGGAAATTCCAAAGATTCACCAGTTGTAGCTTACCACAATCAAAACCAGAAGTTAAACATAAATAATTAATGCAAACAATGCTAATTTCTAATAAGTACTTATTAAAACGTGATAATTTTAATAAATATCACAATAAATTATACTAATAAATTGTGTTTCTAGACTTGACTATAGGCAACTTTTTATACTGAAAGATTGAAATTTGTCCCTTTTTACTCTCTGATACTTCCACAATCATTACAAATGATATAAAATGTTATGAAAATACTTTTCAAAACATCAATAATTGTATTCACTAGTATTCTTATTAATAATGCAACCCTTTGCGTTCGATTTTGTGTTGCATTGTTTCAATCCATTATAACGCCTGATACTAAATTATTTACCAATCATTTCAACCCCAACCAATTACAGATTGCTTCAACATCGTCGCCATAGTTGATAATTATCAATAAATAATTGATTAACGTGTTAATTTTGATGTAAAACTTTGACATTAAATATTTCTCTGCCACGCAATTGTATCTTCTACTATTTTACTGAATCTAATATTCAATAATCGACCTAGTAGAGTCACACCACAAACATCTTCATCATCATCATCATCATCGAGCGTTTTGTATTTCATTCCGCGGGCAATAAATCTGCCGGACAAAGTGTGATTGTGATGAGAATTATTCGACCGCAACTCTCGTTCTCAACATCAGCGAGTACGAAGAGTACGAAGGGTGAGAAATAAATTTATTAATAGCACGAGCAACACAAGAATGGACCGCCAGAAAAGGATACGCGAATAGTATCATCTCAACGTCAAAGTGAGACAGGTTGTGATACTCGCCGCTCAGTTCTCAGTTCAGTTCAGTAGTTGTATGGTGTATGGAGTGGAAAGAGGAAGTGATGAATGTGCAAGCATGAATCCAGACGCAGCTGCATCTCTCCTGATTTTCACCAGTAGAAGAATAAGACTACCTCGACGTATCACAAGCGCTACAAGTTTCCAGTGTCTAAAATATTCAAGCATCTAGTCTATTAGTAGCATAGTATAGGTTATGTTTGTTTACTTGTGGCTTCATCAGAGTGTTTATGAGAATGTAAGCTAGGAATCATCATGAATTGGCTCAACTGCTTCGCCTGCAAGCAGAAGGCGGTGGACGACGTGAAGACGCTCGACTTCAGTCGGGCGTCCATCGCTGATGTCCCACCAGAGGTGTTTAACTTTGAACGGACCTTAGAAAATCTTCATCTTGATGGAAACAAGGTAAAAATCACCTTTAAACATCTAAAAATTAATAAAATATTATTATTTTATTTTATAGATAATAGAATTACCTCGGTTGTTATTCCAATGTGAAGAATTAAGATTCCTGGACATTTCTGACAATGAAATCCAGTTAATCCCAGCGTTAATATCAAAACTGGTCCAGTTGCACACGCTGAATCTAAGCAGGAACTGCCTCAAGCATTCGGACATACCAGCCAACATCCACAGGTGCCAAAAGTTGACTTTTCTTGATCTCAGCTCGAACGCCCTGGAGAAACTCCCCGAAGGTTTAACAAGTTTAGTAAATCTTCAAGAATTATATCTTAATGATACATATATCGAGTTCTTGCCTGCCAATTTTGGTCGGTTGAATAATCTACGCATACTTGAACTGCGTGATAACAGCCTATCATCCTTACCGAAGAGTCTAAGACGTCTTACAATGTTAATACGCTTGGATCTAAGCAACAATGATTTCACTGATATGCCAGAGGTGATTGGTAACATGAGTAATCTAAAAGAATTGTGGATAAATGGCAATTGCATCACACATTTAATCCTGGGTATTGGTAATCTGCAAGAACTGCAGGATTTCGATGCGTCGAAGAATGACATCGAGACAATACCGAAAGAAATCGGCCGGTGTACGAAACTGACAAGTTTAATCCTGAGTCATAATTTGATCAAAGAAATCCCGCATGTTTTGGGCCATTTAAAGGAGATGCAGACGCTAAAAATGGATTTCAATTGTATTGAAGCACTGCCGCATACAATCGGGACACTGGCGAAGCTCGAGGAGCTCGATGTACAGAACAATCAAATCACAGCAATACCAACATCATTCGGTTTTCTAAGAAAGCTGAACTATTTTATAGCTTCGCATAATTTTTTAACTTCTCTGCCAGCGGAGATCGGGAGTTGCGTATCACTTACAATATTAAATCTACATAATAATATGTTGCGTAGGCTACCGGATGAAATCGGACATCTGCAGAATTTGACCTCATTGGGGTTGATTGGGAATAAATTGGAATATCTACCGATACCTGTTGCTAACCTACCGAATTTACGGGCGTTATGGTTGACGCAGAATCAAAGTCATCCATTGGTAAATTATAAATTTATTTTTAAATGAAATTATTATATTTTTAATTATTTATAGATACCTCTACAAACTGAGCAATTGGAACACAGTGGACAACTAGTATTAACTTGTTTCCTCCTGCCCCAGATACAAATGACCCATCAAAATATCAACAAAGAGTCTCCCACTGAGAATATATCACTACCCAAACGACATATTGCGTTCACCGAACCAGGGATACCACGAGAACCTTTACCTCGCCTCACCCGGGCACCCACACCTTATCCGAAAGATTTCCAACGTTTTCAACGCTCTCTAAACAATCAACTACGACGTAACCGCGACGCAAACTCGCAGATATTAAATTTAAATCTAGATGCTGGACAATCACCGTCGCAGTCGCAGATCAAAGAGGCTGTGGTAACGCCAATGAAGAATGATATTAATGGAGATCACCTCCAACATCACTTCAGCACACAAACCGACTTCATATCACCGCCGGACAATCATCCACCCAACTACGAGAACGATTTCTTGAATTACAACCACAATTCGAATACAAACTCAGCTGTAAATGATAACAATTCGGATCACTATAGTTATAACGATAAGAACAGTGTGAATAGTCTGGATGGATTGGATCATGATGATAAACTGAGTGTGGATATGCAGGAGAAGTGTATGATGGTGACTGCGAAGCAACCACCGCCGTATCATATTGCTGCGGCGTATTCAAAGAACGCGAAGTATTTTAATAAAGTCGAGGATTACATGGAGGATGATAAACCGAAGAAATTCACGCAGGATTTACAAGCGCAGAATATTCCTGTGCCGCAGCCAGTCAACTATAGCAAGAAGACTGATGGGTTGTTGCAGGAGATTAATAAACGCATTGATGATCATTATGCTAATCAAAATTACGAGAAGAATTACGTGGTGGAGAAGCAGTTCGCGGAGAATTTGAATAACGAGAGTCGTGTGCCCAAGAATTTGACTGTGGTTTTAACACCGTGTTGTTATGTTTTGGGATTTACTGTCACGTATAATGAGAGTGTAAGTTGATAGAAATTTGGTTTTTACGTGGATTGAAATACAAATTGTTTCGATTTTTTCATTTTTTGCCTTGAAAACATCATCAGGAACTTCTGTTTCTTTTTTAAAACAATTTGTAATTCAATTCACGTAAAAATAAAATATTATAAAGTGAATTACCTGCAAATATGAAGATAAATTGTAAATTTTGATGATTTTTCTTTCTTCCAGGGGGTTTTTGTTAGCAAAGTGGATGAAAACGGCAACGCTTTCCAAAAACTCTTCGCCGGGGATAGAATCCTCGCACTGGATAAGATAGATCTTACCAAGATGGAGCCCTGGCAGGCGTACAAGACTGTTCTCATCCAAGGTCCTGAAACCGAATCGTTTTTTATCACAAGGTATTAATAAAGTAATAGATGTAGACGGACATCTAGCGTAGGTAATTTAAACGATGATTGAACTTAAATTTAACGAATTGAATTTAGGTTGAGTCATTTTACTTAACTTGAGGCTCAAAGTACGCGGTGCCATCGGATCCAATACCTCAATATAATATACATACTGATATTGCATACAATTGCTAACAATATTGATAACTTGATAATGTCTATATAGCTATATATATACGATTAGTGTTTTGAATTTTATATGAGGATGTGGTCCAATTTATTCAATTGATGCGTTTTTTTCATGAAAGATTGGCAGCCAACTTTAAACTATGACTTTAAAAGATAAATATATATATTTCTATTATATAAGGTGGTTATATTTGTGTTCAATTCAGCAATCTAGCGATTTAAGTTGATGTTAAACAATCATTTCTACTGTATGACTTGCATTGCGGCACAAAGTGTGTAGAATAGACATTGGTGTTGATGATTTGATGTGTTATAATTCTCGATTTCGCACCGTCTTTAAGCAATTTATTGATTATTGATCATTGATAGCGGTTTTAATGTAGGGTGTTTATTGTAGGGTTATTTATACATTTCGAGGCTGTGATTTGAATTTTTATTTATTTTAGATAGAGAATCGTTTGGTATAGTTAGTAAGCGTTTTACTGCGTAAAAATTCGAGCGACGCGTTTTGATGCGGTGTCGAAATTGGTCTGTCTCGGCGTTTTTATTCGATATTATTCGACTCTACTGTAAGATACGAGTATTTATATATCCGTAGTTAGATGATTCAAGCAAAACTGAACAAACTATTGTAACACCCTTTTTTATGTATAAAACTGGAGCAAATTTGTAATGAAATAAAGATATGTGAATCAAATCACTTACCAACCGTTATATCTGCAACTCATGTAACACAATCGCGAAAACGCAGCAGGAATACTGAATTCATGATGGCCACCGGATGTATTCGTACTGCGCATGCGCAGTGTAACCTAAAATTTGATCTAGAAGCAATTGGAATGTTCTAGAACAAAACAAGATGGTTATTCACCGGTGAAACACGTTCCAGTGCATCTCTTTCGTTATTTCACTTGAAAATAAGCATCAGACAATGAAATAATTTAATTTTAACCTTAAAAACACTCTAATTATGTGATTCTTAGTAATAAAACGTGCTTCAACTGTAAAAGACCGTTGGGTGATTCAAAAACATAACCTGCACATGGTAAGTTGAAAGATTTATAACTTTTTTTTATAAATATTTATACATTTCGTAAGTTCATTGTTTAAAATAAAATTATACCTATGAGAATACAAAATAATTCTTCCATATTGAATCAATTAAAGTAAAATTGTTTCATCAAAAGTATGGTTAGGGTTGCGCCGACGCCGAATACGCCCAACTCTTCGGGTTGTCCGTATTGTAACCACCCGTTCGAATAATAGAAACATTCGCTGGCGGTTCCACATATTCCGCTTCAACCGCCGGCGAACCAGTCCGCACCCGTGTAATTTCAATACCGGGCAGTCCCTGAAGAACGCTTGGTGTAGCAATCTTGCCATTTTCCATATCCGCGCGTGGCCATTGCACACCTCGTGGACTCGGCGGGCGGATAATCTTCCTCTCCTCCGAAAGCGCAGAAAACGACGTGTCTGGCATTTGCCACGGGGTTAATATCGGTGGATTTTTAGCCTGCGCATGCACAGCAGTCGCAGGTGCGGGCGTAGATGGCGCTGTGGTGACTATAGTAGCCGCCATGTTAGAATTTGTCGCCGCATTGGCATTTTGTGCTAGATAATCAGAAATGGAACTCTCATTCGTACTCGGCATGAAACCAACAGGCCGTGGTCTTCGAATCGTCACCATTCCATTCTCACCATGTGAGATTGTAGCTTGTTCATTCATATTCATCATTGTGGGTTCATCCACAGCCGGTTTATGCATACCCATACCGGTTAACGGATGAAAGATCGGGTTTTTCAGTGTGACCATACCGGAAGAAGATGGCGCACTTACATTGGCTACACTAGCGACATTCTCGGATGATTTTATTAACACACGTGGTTCATTAGTCGTGCCGCCATTTTGTATTGTTACACTTGCGGTTTTCTTCGACTTCTTTTTCTTCTTTTTACCCGTGGTTGCAGTAGCAGTTTGTTGCTGGATTAATTTTTCGGTATCCACAACAATAACGCCGCTTTTACTCACGGGAACATCTGGATATTCATTCGGTTGTGACGTGGATGACTTCCGGTTTGTAAGTGGGCCACTAACTTTGGTTATGGTGATACCCGGAGGAAGTTTTATAGATGGTATGTCAATTATTTCCGGTTGATTTGTACTGGCACCGGAATTAACGGTATTTTGTTGTTTTTTAACTTCTTTAGTTACTGTTTTCACCTCTTGGGTTTTTTTAGTGGTAGTAACACTTTTAGTATTATTATTATTAATATTATTGTTAGTTTGTTTTTGTTTTTGTGATTTCTGCGCCGCCGAATTCAAGTCTTTCCGGAAACTGCTGTCTATGGCAAGTTGCACTTTTATTTCACTAGTCTGAACTTGTTTCACACTTTCATTCGGTTTGTTTTTCGCTGGATTACTTGAATTATTAGTATTTACGTTCACATTTGTAGCCTTTTTCTTCTTTTGTTTATCATTTGTTTGTTTTCCACTACTGTTTTGTTTCTTTTGCTGCTGTTGTTGTGGTTGTGTTTGTTTGTCATTTTCATTCTGTGGACATCTTGATGTAATAATCGGTGCGTCATGTCCATTAACTAAGGTGTATAATAGTTTATCCTGATCTGGAGTAGATCCTTTAAGAGTTATCGTTACAGTTGGTGGTGAATTGTTGTTTTCGACAATGCGTTTAATCGTAACCATCGCAGGAATAGTCTGTTCGAATAATTCTGGTTCAGGATCAGGTTCTGGATCACTATAGGCAGGCTGTGGTTGTTGTTGCTGCTGTTTTCCTTTCTTTTTCTTCGACTTGGAATCATTTGAAGGTGGAGGTTGTGCTGGTTGCTGTTGTTTCTTCTTCTGGTTTAGTTTTTTCAACTGTTTCTGCAGTGCTAGTTCTTCTTTCACGCGTTGTTGCTCAGCAAGTTGTTGTTCTCTTCGTATTCTTTCTTCCTCGGCTTTTCGCAAGGCTGCTTCTTCTTCTTCACGTTGTTTTCTTTCTTCATCCTTAAAAATATGCAACATAAATATTTTTTTGTTAATTTTTGATGTCTTTTTACCTTTTTTGTTTTTGTCTGGCTTTCTTCTGTGCTTTTTTGTATGCTGCTTCATCCTGTGGTCCACCTTCAATGAACTGAATGATTTTGTCAATATTAGCACTGCCCATGTTTGGCATCGGCCCAGTCTGTCCACTGCATTGCACCACGGGCGTGTTTTCCTTGTTGTTGCTGCAGCAGGCCTTCTTTTTGCGCGCCTCCATCTCGCGCAGCATCGCCGCCGTGTCGATTGCGTTGCCCTTCTTCACCATTGCACCCAACAGCCTGTTGCACACCAAATCTCCACTCCTCTGTGTATTGATGTACTTTTGGAACTGCGCCCGGAACTGCAACTGCATTTCGGTCAAGCGCCTTCTAACAATCAACTACTATGTACCAACATGCAATCACACACCAAACAAAACAAAGAAAGTCAATTTTAGTCCAATAGTTGTTTAGTTAGTGTGAACTGTAAACAGAAAAGTTGTAGAAATGGCTGCAGAATGCAAGCGACGCGCTGCGACGGTCATACAACAATTGTACACCCTCTAAAAAAGCAGGTAGGTAATAAAATAGTAGGTAGGGCTTTGTTAGGGGGTGGTAAACTATGTTTTTTAGACAGTATGGCGAAAAATAGCAAAGTAGCGTAGAACACTGAATGCGTACATAAAATGCATACAAATGCAAGGCAAAGCAAATTCATTACTAATTTCAAACAATTAGAGACAAATATTTACCTGTTTGTATTAAAACTGTTGATACAATTGTAAATAAATTCTGTTTGCTGTCATTATTCTTATCGTTTCTAACCTCAAAGCGTTCTTGTCAACACGACAAACTGGAAACAAATCTTTTGTTTCAAACACCTAGTGTTGCATTCAAACATGTAAAAAATGCATTTTTATGCCTTAAAACATCATAACATTACTAAAAATCTACTAAAAGTATATTTAACCCAACAAATTAATATAATATTCAACTTTTTATTAGCTTTTTACGTCAACTAATAATTTTTTATCATTTATTTCATTTATAATTTACAACACTAGGTTTAAATTGTTTTAAAATTTCACCGCTAGGATAATAGTGTAATATTTTATTGCTAGATGGCGCAACGTGGTACACTTCAACTTATTTTTAGATATTCGATCAAGTGATGCGTTGAGGTTGGTCATATTATTCCGTATTCGCCGACAGTTGCAACACGAGTACACGACGTTTTATTTCACTAAATTCTCGTAAGATTCACCTGTAAAGAGGTTTGTAATTGTAACATCATGAATTTCCTACGCCCAGTCACTCGTAACTCTCGTGCCGTCTCACTAATTGCGTCGTAAGTATTCACACTATCAATAATATTCATAATCTTTAAATAAATGCATTTGCCAGAATATAAAAAAATCATATGACCTTCCACACACTTCTAAACTTGTAACACGCATATATTTTGAGGGGAATCATGTAATATCAAGCAATACTGTACTTTCTGGTGCAATTTTGTGCAATAATTATGTATAAATAGATTGTTTTTGGTATTGTAGACAAGTCAGAACCATGTCTGGTGGTATTGGAAGCGGTGCCGGCAAGGGAGGCGGCGCAGGCGGTGCTATCCGTGAAGCTGGGGGTGCTTTTGGGGAGCAGGCAGCTGCAAGAGAAGATCAGTACTTCCACAATAAGGTACATGCAAACAACTCGGGTTAAAATTGGATTCAATCCAAAATTATTACAAACATCTATTTATATTCATTGTTTTCACTTTTTTCTTATTAGTTCTACATCTAGAAGCATCAATGTGTATTCATACCATGACTTATGACTAAATTTAACTTGTTTTCATTAAAAATCTTAAATTTTATTGTAGCAAGTGGAGCAGATGAAGAAATTGAAGGAGGACCTCACCGATGAGATTAGTTTCCATGAGGAGCAGATCAAAAGACACCAGGATGCGATCAAACGTCATCAGCAACGTGTGGATTCAATGGAAAAGCAGTAATTTGTCACTTGTAATAACAAGTTTGTTTTTGTGCTTATAGGCAAAGAGGAAAGAAGTAAAACGTAAAAATTCGGTATTAAAGGATGTTCATGTTGAGGAAGATGGGGGAAGATAAGAGTTAGATTTGTAGTACATTTGTATGGCGCCTCTATTGTGTTTTATGTTTGTCAGTCACATTTTCAATATATAAATATACACAAAGGTAATATTTCATTTTAACATTTAAAGCGTGTGAATTGGGTGAGTTGTACGTTGGAACTCGAGATAAATTTATACAAATAGCGCAATGTTTGCTTTGTTACATAAGTATTGACGTTTCAGGTGATAATTCACTGAGAATGAAACAAAATTTTGTTTTTAACCGAATTTTACTTGAAATTACGTGGAATTCTTTATTTTACGCTATAAAAATGTTAAAAATCAACGTAATTTCTTATTTTTTATGGTTTATTATGTGTATTTTATAAATATTATTAATTTTATGTTGAATTTCGCGCTATTTGTCTTCCAGCGGATGTTGATTGGTCGGCCATCATGAATATCTTCCTTACTTCACTTTAGCACCGCACGAGGACGCTACCATCGCTTGGAGTTAACTGTCTGCGCACGCCTGTAGTCCGCGCCGCGTTGTATAGTCATTGATCAGTGTGGATCAGTGCCATCAGTGCTCTAGATGCGTTTGCGCCGCCTGTTCGTGTATCCAGTGTAAGAGACTGCCGCCGCCGCCGACGCAGAAAACAAGCGACCAACACCGCCGCCGCCGCAGGTCGCAACTCGCAGAGCGTTACTCTCGGTGGACGCGCGTCGTGCCGTCCGCAATACTCGCGCCCGCTGACTGAACAATACAAATCGGTGTGATGCATTTAAGGATATCATTCACGCTCGTCGTGTGTTGTGCAATCCTGCACGGATTCGCCTCTGCAGCCCAGGTGAGTTTTTCAACACTTTCCTCTTATCTACCTTCGCCGAGTCAGCGAAGTATTAAAAGAACAGTTGGGTGAGACGTCGCGAGCGGCAGTTGTTTGTGGCCGACGCGGCCCTCCAAACAAGATGGGAAACAACTGCAATACAACCGACCAGCGACCAGCCATTTCATCTCTTGGAACACACGCCAAGACGCCTTGGTCTCTCCTCCACAGTTTACACAATCGCATTAGGCGTAAATCAGTTATTGTATAAACATGCCCCGCGCTGAAGAGATGAACAATCGGTTTATTGAGCGCGATTTCATTTTGTTTATACGCGCGTATTGTGATAGCGCTATTGTGCCCTGCCGTTTGTTTGTTTGCGTAGCGTAAACAATTCAGGCAATAGCCACCGTAACAGAATGGAATTATAGATTTTCTGATATATTAATATTAGCCTTGCAAAAAAAATTGCATGTTGAAGGTATATGTATATAACTATGTATACATGCAATTGAATTAGTGTATTATTCACCGTTGCTAAATATTTGGACAACGGCGTCGATATTCTAGCGATAATGTTGTCACCCGTGCGCGAATCTACGAAATTGGGAATAATATTTATTATTTGCGTGTGTACTTTGTTATTACAAGTCAACAAGTGTTATTTTCATGAAGGGAATTATTCAAAAATATTGTTGAAGATAGTGTCAATCATTGTTGGATTGACAAAACATGAAATGCGTCATGTTTAAGACGCTATAAAAGTATTAATTATTATTTCTGGATTAAACTTGTTTTCGAGGTTGATAAAAATGGGAAATTTACTAAAAATGTTTGATTTTTCTTCTTAAATCGCGAAAAATGTCGAATATTTTGATGTTTTGAAGCATTCCAAGCTCTTTCGTCTTTTGTGCGGCTTAAAAATGATGAAAAACACAAAGAACAATAACTTCAGCATGTTTCTTAGAAGACATTCTTATTGAAATTGTTGTAATATTTATACTTTGTTCGTTTTTCTTAAAATCTCATTAATTTGCACTGTTTCGTTAAAATCGGGTGCAAAATTATGTTGTGAGGAATAAATAGTCTATGATTTCATCAATTCTACAACAATAGTTGTGAATTTATCATTAAAACCATTTCAAAATTGTATATTTCGATAAGTATTGCGAAATAGTACAAAAACACTAACTTAGTCATGTTAAAATAGTGAAATACTTATTAATTACGTACTTGTTACAACAATAGAGTAGGTAATCTATATTATGTAAAAATCCTAAATTTATTTATGTTGTTATCATGTCTACTAGTTTCAGTAGTCGATAACAATCAAGGAAAACAAAAATTTAGATAGTTGGGATTAAAATCTTGGGTATTTTCATCAATTTCTAACAAATTTGATCAAAATATACAAAGAAATCGAATATAAAACACAAAAAACAGAATTTTAAGACTTTTCTGACATAAATTTATCAAAATTACCAAAAAAATCATCGAAAATTTGCTCAATTTGTCTCTAAAACGCACTAATATTCACTCCTCAAAACAAATCTGACTGACGAAGTATATAAATGGACCTCCTCTCCTGCACGTCTTAGAACACCGAATGCATGCCGTAGGGCTGCCATTAATTCTCCCATTACGCGGACATCATGCGTGTGCAAGACGAATCCGCATCCGAAGGCGAACGCAAAACTTAACTTAAACTCCCGTCCGACTACTTACCAGTTACTACCTACTTGAACTAACCAACCCGTTGTGAGTAATGTATCAATGAGCAGCGCAACTCACCCAGCAGCTATGCTCTCATAGGCTTCCTCATCACTTTATCTGCGAGTTGTTACACTTTGTAATCTTCTCTAATCTTTATTTAGTCAATGAAAAAATCCTTGGGCTGCATCAAGCAACAAACAACAAACAAACGCGTGTGTTGTGTGTAAATATAAATGGCGGGCGCCCGCGCACACACGAGAGATCAGGAGCTCCCATGAGCTTGTTTGATTATGTTTGTTCGGTCGCTAACGCGCTTCGCTTACAATTCACAATATACTCATGTACGTACCTAACTTAAGATATGCGCACACAGCTATCGCGCATTGTATGCACTTTGTATTTATCATGGTTACTCATAATTTGCGCCAAAGTATTAACCTTTAATTGCACTTATAGAAACAAAAAATAATATTGAGTCATCCGATATGATGATTTGCTATACACGTGACTTCTTTAAAGTTTATTTATGAATTGGTTGTTTACGCCGCGCCGGAGAATGCGGCGAGTGTGGCGTCGTCGCGCGATTAATAATTAATGACATATTCGTAGTCAATGTTCGAATGGCGACGATGGCTGTGACTTCGTTAGCTGCTGTGTATGCGGTTCTAATCACCACTTGCCTTTGCTTTGGCTTTGGCTTCGGCCAGTCGGTCGGTTATGAGTTGTGAATGTGAATCGCGACACGCAATAGCTGTTATTCGCGCCGGAGTTGCCCGGCGATCGATCGCGGCGCGAATCAATCATTCGGGGGGCGAAGATATCCCAGTTGAAGCTAATTGCGCGTCTGGCACGCGGCCTACATCAACGATTTCGGTTAAATTGCACGAATTGATGGATTGTTGATGTATGTAATGCGAGTGCGGTCGTAATTTAATGCATTGGATATGTTTTCGGAGTTTGGGGTTGAATTTAGGGGGGATTGGGGTGGTAATTAGGTAAATTGGAAATCAGGATTAATACTTAGCACGAAAAATGGTAGAATAGGATTATTGTTTTGAGAATTACGAATATAAAAATGAATATTATGATATTATAGACAAAGAAACACATTTTTTGATACTTTTTCATTAATTTTGCAAATATTTTGTCTTTTTCTTCTTTTTAATGAAAATTTAAGTTTGAAAATGCAATTTACGCAATATCTATACATAAATATGTAAAGATAAATAGGAAAAGGCGATTTATTGTAGTGAAAATAAATTTTCCACGATTTTGAGGCACAAAAAGTGATACTTTAAACACGGATAGCCAAGGCCGTGACTAAAGTACTTTAAGCCGTGCAAAAAGTATCATTTAACTCACTTGATACTTAATATACTATTAAATAAGTGCAGAATAATACCAAAGGAAGATTTTATAAAATAAAACTTTAAAAACATAGATTTAATTAACATGCAGACTGAATTTAGTTTAGTTTTTGTTAAACATGAAAAACTCTTTCTCTCAAAACACCCCCAGGTGTTAAATTTAATATTCCAGAGTTTCTGGTTTTATAATTAGATTTACCTCATCAAAAATCAATGTGGCACGATTTTCGCTACTTACCACTTGACCAACTTTTCCCGCAACTCTTACACACATTTCTGATCTACTTACTTTTTTTTGCACCGAATGCACTTGTATGAAATTCCATGGAATATCCACAATTTCGCGTTTCAAGTGCGGCATTTTTCGAGCGGTGGTTTTTCGAGCATTTCCCGCGCCCCGCCCGCTCATTTCTATTCCGTGCGATGCGCGCAAATGTAACATTCGCTACATTTACCCTCGGCGTGTCTGCCCGTGGCGGGCGCAAAGCGTTTTTCGACCGCCGCCGCGTTATATATTTTTCATCCTTTTTGTGCGCCCGCTGAAGATTTTTGTTTCATAACTGGCCGGCGAAATTTCCTACAGAATGATAAATTCAACAAATTATCTCCAATTTTACTTCGGTCAAAAAACTCCATGTATGTCATGATTCATTCAAGAAGAGAAAAAAATTGCGCATGTGCATAAAATCTACCAACGCATACAATTTTTTCTCATCACATCTCAGTCTTTTTCTCTTTAGTTACGATTAACATTTGTTATGAAATGAAATAATCATAAGTATCTAAGAAATATTACGTTGTGAATAATTCCGCACACGTCCACGCAATAAAATCGTTTAGCGTGATGCGCAATGCGAGGAATAAATCCGCGCAGATGCTAATACATCCGATTATATAGCTACGTGCTATTATTGTTATTCCAGCGCCGCAAAGTTTAACAACTTTGAAAGGGGTTTACCAGGCAGGTACGCATTTCATCTACCTGAATATGTGTACACAATAGATGACACTTGATTCTGACCAGTGTTGCGGAAATTAATGTCCAATAATAATAACTTACTTGTGGAATTTTACAGCTGAAGATGTAAAAATAGAGGCGAAATAGGAAAGAATGGCCATTGTTATCGACGTTTTTTTTCTTTCTTTTGACCATTTTCATTTTACTATCTCGTTTAACTAGGACCACTAGGGCTATATCTGTTGGGTGGTAGAAAAATATGACCATCTTTAGGGGTTTTATGGACTTGGATGTCCGGACGCGCCCGACGGACGGACGTAATGGTCAATTGTGCGAATAATACAACCGAAGAAAGAAAGCAAGCAGGAAAAGGTGCATTGGGAATACCCAAATGTTATAATTTCGTGTTTCATGTGTTTCATGTGTTATGTTAGTAATTATATACGTGACAAAATGGAGAATTGCAAATAGTTCGCCGAACACAATGCCGAAATTCAAAGTATAGCGCCATTGTGTTCCGTATTATTGTGTGCCAGTGATTTATAATTTACATTTCGACGCAGTTGGTCGATGTGATTAGCATGCGCTATTAATAATTAATAACAGGCGACACCAAAAAAGGAATGCAAAAGTTTTTTGTATGCGGAACAAAAAATACGAAGATTATGTGTAAACGTGCAAATAAGCACGAGTGTTTGATGTTTTATTTATAAAAAGTGCGAAAACCTTCCTCCGGGGGTAGTGGTACTGTGGTGTTTGCAATCTGGCAGTGGCAAAACTTCTCGCGTTGTGTGTTTTTTTTTCCTTTCTTCACCCGAGCGTTTTTCCTGCATGCATAAACGCTCGAAGCGCGAGGCGATAAGCACGTGTGGAAAAATGATCCAAAAAACATACGGAAGAGGATTCTATGCTCTCCTGCTTCAGGAGAGTAGAGTAGAGGAAAAAAGTGTTACTTTAGTCTAGGTGTGGATGTGGGACGCGGA